AATCCATATTATTCAAAGAGAAAACGAGAGAGATGATGATTCTGAGGCCACCCTATCCCAGCCATATTATTCACATATCGAGTCCCAACAGCAACAGTGTAGGGATGAGCACGAAATACTGTAAATTAAATGCTGAATGGAGGTTCATGCAGGGAAAGAACATATCAATATTCGCATATTCATTCAAAAACATGAAAATTCTTAATGGAGTACCCTCATTTTTTATTGAATTCCTAAAAACCAATATTTATAATGAATTTTAATAATTTTTTCGGATTTTTTTGAAGCTTTATTCTGACCGATTCACCCGATTCCGATCCGGATCGCCGATTCGCCGATCCGGATGGGTTTTTGAAAAGCCCGATCCGGGTCACCGATCCGGTTTTTAAACCATTGGTTTAAACATTATTTGCTTTTAGCTTGGAGGGAGTCCAAGGAATTTCATAGACCCCAGGAGTTATTGCGATTATGATTATAGAGAGCGAGGCATGCGTCTTTTTCTCTTGAAATTAAAAACAAATAGTAACCATTTGTTTGTCCACCGCGAGAAAGGGATCGTTTGAACTCATTGTTCACAAATTGTCCGATCTAACCACTAATCGCCGAGTTAGATCGGAACTTGCCAGTCGTTGATTTCGGTTTTGGGCGGTTAGGGTGATCAACCGGTATTTAAAAAAAATAAATTCAAAAAAATGTATATAAATTCTAAAAAATAAGGAATTTGATTTGTAATGTATTTTTAAATATTTTTTACATTATGGTAAAGATTAAAAAAAAAAAACTTAATACTCACTTTTATATTTTCCCATCTTTTTTAGAAAATTTTAAAAATAGCTCTTGGAAAATATAAAATAGGCTAAAATCCATTTTTTTTATTAATTTTCAATTTCGTTTCAATGTGTTTAGTTTTAATCATTCTTTATATGCTTTTCATATTTTAGTATAACTTTTTTTTTGTATTTTTTTAATACTTTTTTGACCGCCTTGGATTTGTCCGATTAAAACGGTTGAATCGACCGGTTAAGTCGGTTAAACCACTAGCAGGCCCATCTCCGATTAACCATTCTTGTTCGATTTTACGAACACTGGTTTGAACAACTCACACAATCGATGACCTCTTGTCCATTAATTATGGGTAAGAAGTGAATTATGCAAAGGCTTTGCGGATTGAGTTAGTTCCAAACTTTGATTTGCTGGCTAACTGCTTCATAGCTTTCGTTTGAGCGAAAGATTCTATTACGAAACAGAAAATTAAGCTCAAGGCCCAAAGGTAAGGGTGTGGTTTAGATAAGTTGCAACCTTAAAGGTGTGGTTTACATAAGGTTTAAAGTGCACTTCCAAATTTTATAATAAAATGTGGCTTTGGTGTCATAAATTCTTAAAATGGTTTGAGAATCTATTTTTATTTTTAATTATAAAATTTTAAACTCTATAAACTATTCAAATTAAACAGATCTATAAACACATAAAAATCTTGAAACGGACCGTCCAAATAATTTGTTGTAAAATGCACTATTTTTTAGACCCGATTTTTTTTTTTCATATCCATACGTTTCGATGTCGAAATGATTAATTAGAAGATTTCTCCACATCAAAACAAATTTTTCGATGGATTTTTTAGGTGCACATTACGGTTTAAAGTAGAACCTTATATCAACTTTTCCCTCGAGGTGAAAGGAAAAAAAAAAACGCTTGAAACGTTTGAAGAAAAACTCCCGTAAAATCTTACCTAGAAATGATTTTAGGGACTCGAAATTTAGATATCTAACCACTTCAACTCATAAATTAATTTAAATAAATTTTTTTTAATTGTACCCTCGATGCACTTGAAAATATAATGTCTCAAGATTGAATAAAAACCATCAAATTTTTAGATGGTGAGACCATCAAATTTTTACATGGTGAGACCATCAAATTTTTAGATGGTGAGATATAAGTGTTAAAATTTTAGTTTTTTAGAATAATCATCTTAGTAATTGTTAATAAGTTCAGTAAAAGAAATCCCCCCATTTTTCAAGGGTGGATGAAAACTGTGCTCTCCGAAGGACCATAGTACATATAATTATGTTGTATTTTTTTTAAAGAAAGTCTAATATGATTTTAATAGGGAATATATTTTTTTATTTTTCTTCTTTTCACCCCTTTTTTTTTTCTTTTCTTTTGACAAAGATCACTTACAAGTAGTTTTATTACAATAATTCTTGCTTAAAAAAAAAACAAAACTAACAAATCCAGTATTGTAAAAACCTTGATGTATCTAAACTAATTTTTTTTAAACAAATAAAATATCAACAGTTTTTATGTTTGGGAATATAAATACAATATAATTAAATATGACCAAACCAAAAAGAGATTAACTCAACCAGACTTATTACACCCCACACTGAGTTACCATCATCCAATGACGTAGGATCAATGATCAACCTTTGATCTCAACCAAGCAAGTTTAGGCCAAGTCACACTAATGGACTATGAACCCCTTTAATCACAAATTTAAACACTAAGTGAATTCCCTTAACAATCTAGTTTGAGAGAGATTGATTCTTTTTTTGCTATACCCTAAAACCCTTAGCCATGCATCCATAGTTAAGAGATGGAAAAGAGAATAACCCCATAACCTAAACCTTTAACCCCTTTTTACAATGTGGGGTAGAGTGATCAAATATGAGAGAAGAGGACGTGCCCCCTTTGGGCTTTTAAGAAAGATAGAAACTTTCATAAGAGATCAATAGAAAGATAAAGTGTAAAGATTTTGTGTAGAGACAATCCCTTTTTTTTATAGGCTTTGAACAATATTAGGGTTTTATAGGGTTTTCAGTGGCTTACACCTTTGAATATGAACTATTTATCTTGAGTGACTTGTGAGGTGAGAGATTTGAGCTATCAATTCTATAAATGGGTCAACATTATGGAAAGTGCTAGAATCTTTATCCCCATTTTCTAAATTATTTTTCCATTAATAGATATTAAATAAAATAATTCTAAATAGAATATTTTGGATACTAAAATAATGCACAAGCCTTCTCATGCTTTCAAAAAATTCATTCAAAGCTTCATCAAGTCAATACATTTCCAAAACACATAACTCCTTGGCCTACAAGCCAATATCACTTATCACAAAAATAAAAAGCTTCTAAATAGTTGGGTGTGCCACCCGTGAGAGGATCAAATGGGCCCCACCATCTAGGGTATGGTGGGCACAATGGGTCCCCATACAATTTTAAATTATTTAAAAACTCAATAAAATAATTTTAGAATTTATTTGAATATTTAAATTAATTTAAAATAAATATCTCTGAGTTTATAAATCTAATTTTGATAAATAAAATATCCAGAGATCAAGAAAAATTCAATTAATAATTTTAAAATCATATCATTATAAGATAAACACAATTAAATTCATTAGACGAGATAATGATCCATATAGTTTAAGAATAAATAATCTAGGGGCACTTCACCTTCAACTGTAGGCTACAATCCACATTTACTTTATCAACCGACCTAGTATTTTTCATAACCCATAGTTTGTGTAGGGGTTCATTAGTAAGTCACCAAATCATGGTTAATGAGCCAAGGGGTCGTAATCCCAGTTTGTAGATTTCAAGTTATCCCTTAGAGATAAGTCAATGCCATCTAGGTCTGATACGACCACAGCTCCTATGACGTAGAGATGTATCCCTCGTACATACACACGCTTCACTTTTAAATGGTCTATCAATATGCATGCCGTGTGATGGTACATAAATGATGCTTTGGTTCGTGTCTCTGAAAGTCACCATCACATATAAAGATCATACAATTCCTTAATTTACTCATCCGGACATATTCTAACTTCATAAAAGAATAAAAGAATGACCTATTAAAACCTTTATTGGTTTATACTTTATGCTCAAATAATATAGATTTTTTTCTATCCAACTGGCGTCCATCACAATCCGATATCAACTAGCTTAATGAAGTCGACGAGGACCACACTCCAAAAGACTTCATATTGCACCATCATTTCATTTTAAAGCACTCATAAAAACTAATGTTTCTTTCCCTAATAAAGGATTAACCTGTTTGCCGCCATTGTCGCGCAATTCTCAGGCTTCTCAAACTCACTTCGACACTGCATTTCTTTTCTGGCACGTTAAATTCTCTCTCTCTCTCTACTCAGTTCCTGGCTACATTTTTTTTACAGGTATGTCAAACTCCATCTCTCGCTCTCTCTGTCTCTCTCTTTCTCTCTCTCTCTCTCTCATTTGTCTATATTTATATTTGAATTGTTATTGCCGATCAATTTAATCCAACCGTCGCCCTTTTTCCCGCAAAGTTTTCCATGAAATACATTGGTTTTTCTTCATTGAGAAGATGCAACACCTGAGAGGCTCCCATTGTACAAATAGCATCTTCAGCTATGAATTTGGATATTGTTGTTGTTAACTCAATGCCGTTGTTTTTATATATGGTTCCACTTTTTCTCTTATTGTAATTCCCTGCCTACTAATAATTTCAGAGAACCAAGGGGTTTATTATTTATTGTCAAGAACTATTATGAATTGACATCCCTATGCTTTTGTTATTGGATTCATGCTTCCCTTAGTTAAGATCAAGATGGATTTTTGGTGGTATTGAGGAAGGGTAAACTCTGCATATTCTTTACTGTTGTTAAAATTAGCCCCACAATTTGATAATGTTTTGGAAGTAATTTTCATGTGTTGTTTGTTATTGCCAAAAAAGAATTTAATGCTTTGCTTGGCTAAGCTATATTCATATTGGGGTGCTTGCCCTGGTTTGAAGGAAGGTTTTAAGAAATAATCATTCTACATGTGATCGGTAGGACAGTTTTGTTTGATGTACATGGAATTAAACTATTTGACCCGTGGTCACTTAAGTTGTTAATCCATGGTTTTAATTTAGTCAGAGGCGTTTTTTCTACTTAGGTTTTGGAGGGAGCAAATTTCACAAGCCATGGTGTCATGGTGTATAGATCAAAGTACCAGCTTGCTTGAAATTATCTTTTCAAGCTGGTAGAAGCTTTGGAAGTAGAGGCTGAGTATTGATCCAAGGAAGGCTGTGCTGCTCCTGGTGTTGGAATGGGCAAAGATATGTTGTGTCTTTCAATGTGGACTTGGTTTTAGAGAAAGATGAAACTAGATGTGGATCAAGTGGTATTGAGACTTAAAACTAGGGTTTTTTTTATAGAATGGCCTCCTAAAGCTGGAGTACATCTCTTTTGGATGAGATAAAATGAATTTTAGTTGTCATGATGTCCTTGGTAATAACACTATGTTGTGTCTCGTGATATGTGCAATGGAGTTCTGCATGGATTCTGGGGGCCATTTTGTTCTCTTTGGCCTTTGATCTCCCTGAAGTATTTCATGATGATACACTGTCTTTTAATTGCATTCAAGAAGAAAATGATTGTTCTTTGGCAGAGTTGTTGTTACATTTGTTAGCCATATACTCTTTTGCCGACTGATGCTTTTATCAGATTATGTGAAATCCTTTTCTCCTTAGTTAGGATTTTTTTTTTTTGAAAGTCTTAAAGAGTATTATAGTTAAGATTGTTTATAAACCATGTTCTTGATATTTGCTGAAAAGTTAAAATTTGCCTACTGTTTTAAATGCAGTGTAAATGAAGTGCATTGAGCGCCTTCCAAGATCTGTTTGCAGTTCCTTGCGCTCTAGTGCAATTCTGTTTGACTTGCCAAAAGTTGTGGAGGAGCTGATCTATAATAGTGTGGATGCGAGAGCTACAAAGGTAATTCTTAGTTATCAGTTAAGTCTATTTCCTCAATGAATCTTATTTGGAGATGTCCTTTAATTACACACCGTATTATTCTATACCTTTGGAGATACCCTGTTTTCGATCTGTTGTATAATCAGAGTTCTAGGTGTACTTCAGGATGAAACAAAAAGGAAGTTCCGGATTTTGGAGATTTAGTTTGCCCTAGTTGCTCCAAGAATTCCTTTTTAGCTATTTTGTGGGACTGTGCAACTTTGGTCATTGATGCAGTAGTTATTGTGACAGAATATTAACGGACAATGCTAGTTCTTAAGCTGTTAAATTTTTTTATTAATGACCTATGCAAATTTAACCAAATCATGACCACTATAGCATTAGGCTTTACATCAGTTACGTTAAATAATGCACAATGAAAGGTAAGAGATAACTAAGTTGAGGCCGATCCCTGGATTTTGGCAAAGAACAAAATCAAGCCGGCTAACGGATCCCACCATAGTGTATTGCAGCTGAGAACAGTTCCTGCTGGAAATTGATGCTGGGTTTCTACCTGAGTTATATCTTGGAATATGAGCAGTGTCCGAAAAACTCGCGAGTCCCAATCAGACTCCCCCAGATTTCTCAAACTAGGCACGCTTCCGATTCCGAAACCCCCCCCGCCCCCCCCCCCTACCCCACCAAAAAAGACTCGCTAGGTGGTACTGTAGCAGTACTTGCCCAAGTTACTGGAGCAATTCGGGTGAGTACTGCAGCTCCTCAATGAGTTTACGACAGATTCTGCAATGCCACAGAAACTCTTCGAGTGTCAGAAAATTTAAGCTTAAAAGAGGAAAGGGGGGGCCCAGGGGGGGGGGGGTGGGGGGGGTGGGGTGATGTCCAATCCCCTCTTGTTTGAACTCGGCTCTCAAACTTCACCTGTAGGCCTCTTCATCTTTCATCGATTAAAAACATCAATTCAGCAAAAAAAAAAAATGACATCTTGGATTTGAGTCTTTTTTTTTTTTTTTGTTCAAAACTAAAGCTTTGCCAGAACTAATTTCTTGTGTATTTCCCCAACCCAAGCTTGACCCACCCTAAAATTATTCTTCAAGCCTAATTTTGTGTTATCCATTGAGCCCAGGTCATAGTTTCCAATAAAGAAACGCTTTAAATCTTGGATTTATGAGATATTGAGTTCCAAGTACTCTTTGCTGTAGCCAATAAAATCAAAGGTTCATCATTTTTAATTTCGTATATAGCTTTGTTTTTAAATTTTACTCTTTTTTTTTTTCCTTATTAATGTTTCCTGAACTTACGTGATGTTTTTTTGGCCAACTCACTTGACTCAGGCAAGACTCGGTGAATCCACTTGGAACACAATGAGTGGATTCCCCCCAGGCACCCAATGATTCCTGGAGCGAGTCTTAAAACACTGAATATACCTTGAATATAAGTGTTCAAGTAATATCAATCTTTGATATATATACCACTTCCATCATGATCATCATTTAGCAATTGTAAATAGTTTTAATGAATGTTGTTGTAATTGTTTTTAACATATGTTGTTTCAGGTACATGTCTCTGTAAGCATTGGGACAGGCTACATAAAAGTAGACGATGACGGTGAGCTGCTATTTTGTTCTCTAGTTTGAAGAATTTTGGACAAGAGAAGTTGCTATTGCATGTTAGTTACACCAGTTTTATGTGTTTACAGGATGTGGTATCACACGGGAAGATTTGGTGCTTCTCGGGGAAAGATACGGTGTGTGCTATTGTAAAAGTATACGTTCCAAGCATGACATATCTTTCCTTCTTGTAAAATGCTAAAGATTTTTATTTTTCAATTTTAAAAGTCACATGAATTCATACAGAAGGAAATTTCCTATAATATATTTTATTCGCCAGTATTATAACCTATGAATGCTTAATGATGTTGACAATGGATTTGAAGAGGTATCCGGAAAAATGGAAACGAGCTATTCGCAGTCTTCTAAAACAAGCATTACTTTCCGAAGTTCCAAAAGCCTACAACCCGTCCTACCTTCAAGAAAGAACTTCTTGTTAAAGTTTGAACTTGTGTTTGTAACCTTTCCCAGTTGGCTACCTTTCAGGGATTCCCATTGTATAAGTAAAGACTTCTTTTTTTTTTTGAACTGCCAATTGGAATGCAGAAAAAGGAAAAGAAGGTGGTATTTCTTCCACCTCTTGTTTTAAGGCTAATTTATTTAATTTGTATAATAGTAACAGCAACGCTGCCTCTTTATATGTTGGTCAAATTCTTGTTTTAGAAGTCATTCTGTTCATAGACTGTCTACATGCTTCATGGTAGTTACTTGTTGCAAGTGGCCCCATGGAGCGGATGTCATGCCTAAATGTTTCTGTCAATTACTTGACAGTATGTTGGGAAATTTATAAGTTCTTTTCCATACTTCCTGCATATGTACCAAGGGGTGATTTTGGGTTTGTTGGTGTACATGTGTAATGAGTCCCACTTTGAAGCATTTCCTAGATTGTAATTAATGGAATCTTCATCATGTTCAACTTACGTAGTTAAGTTAAAGCTGTTCTGCACTTGATTTTACACGTGTTTTGTATTATGTGCCAACAGCAACATCAAAGCTTCACTCTTTGGCTGAACTTGATGCCAGTATTGAAAGCTTGGGGTTCAGAGGAGAGGCATTGAGTTCTCTCTCTGATGTCTCGCTTTTAGAAGTCATCACAAAGGCTCGTGGAAGGGCAAATGCTTACCATAAAGTCATTAAGGTATGTATGCTTCAACACTGAGCTTTGCATGTCCTAGTTTATTTGCAATTGGGTATTGTAACATGCCTAAGCCATCTATTACGATATCTGGATATCTTCTTTCAGGGTTGCAAGTGCCTATCTTTAGGAATTGATGGTCATAGGCAAGATGTTGGTACAACAGGTAAAAACTTCATTTGGCACTGTTGACATGTAGGATTTGGCATGTTTTTATGTGTCTTCAGGAAAGATTGTTCACCCGAGCATTTACCAGAGATTTTTTTATATTATTTGTCTTAGCATTTATTTGATCTTTTCTATTAAATCATCATTTGTAAGTTCTTGAAACATGTTTTCTACAAAACCAGCAGCGTGGTAATTGATATCTAATTCAATCTAGTACAGATTGTTTAGCTCTTTAAAATTGTACCATTTCCAAATATTTTAAGTCCACGGAGCTACTATATAGTTTATACGAGAGATGGTCCCCACAAGGATTTCCTTGTAGCTCAATAAGACAACTTTGCCTGAATATATTTCTGAGATAGATGACATATGAATTTGATGCACATTTTGAATGGGTTCCAATTCTCTGCCTGAATATAATTCTCTATCATGTTCCTCCATTTTTGTGGATTTAGATCTACATAAATAACTGAAATGATGGACAGTATTTTTTGTTAAATATATCTTGTTCGAACTGCAGTCTAAGAGATCTTCCTTTATTTCCTGCAGTTATAGTTCGTGATTTATTTTACAAGCAGCCTGTTCGAAGAAAGTATCTGCAATCCAGGTATTGCTTCTTTTACAGTTCTCTCGCAGTCATCTTTCAGTTTTTTAATTTGGCTTAAGATGTAGTCCTTATCTAGCTAATACCATTATCTTCATGGAACTGCTTTGGAAGCCCTAGAAAGGTGTTGCACTCGGTCAAGAAATGTGTACTTCGATTTGCCCTTCTTCACCCTGAAGTTTCATTTAAAGTCACAGATCTTGAAAGGTAATTTTTCATTTGTAATATGGTTGAAGTATATTAAATAACATTTGTTGTTTCTTAGATTTCATTCATTATTGTAGTGAAGATGAATTGCTCTGCACGTTTCCATCCTCGTCTCCCCTACCTTTAGTAACTAAGAGTTTTGGTGAAGAGGTTTCGAGTCATTTACAGAAAGTAGACTATTCTAGAGGTGCACTGAGGATATCTGGTTACTTATCGAATCCAGCTGATGCTTTTTCCACAAAGGTTCGTACCAATCCATTGTGGACTTGTCTTGTAGAAAATTATGTGAAAAGATGCATTAAGCCAAGTGCAAGGATAATAAATATTATGGAGTATGGAAAAATCATTGTTCACTGGGTCATCACCAATCAATGGAATATGGACTGTGGTGAAGGAGGAGAGGGAACCTCTAAAGGAAGACATGACCCATTTCTGGGTCTCACTTTCTCTCTCCATCACCTTCAGTTTTTGTGAATTGTGATGATCTGATAGTCTATGGTTTTCCCATCATCCAATGAATTGTAATATAATTACTCTTACATAAAATGTTCCTATTATCATCTTATCTAATAGTGTTGCTTCTAATTAGAATGTTTCATCCCTTCCAGGTTTTACAATATATATGTATCCTATTCTGGGGTAAAATTCCTCCGACTACCATTTTTACACTTTTGGCATTTTTCATTTGTATCCTTCACCTTTCCAGACATCAATTCGCGGTTTGTAAGCAAAAGCCCGATACACAAGTTGCTGAATAGAATGGCAGTTAGTTTTCAATATTCTTTGGTTTCTGGGATCGGGGAATCTCTATGTCAAGGGAAGCAGTCTGCAATCAAGGAGGCACGTCATTTGCCATCATATCCTGCATATATACTGAATTTACGTTGTCCGCTTGCTACTTATGACCTAACTTCTGAACCATCGAAGACGATTGTAGAATTCAAGGTTTTTATCTTTTCTTTTCTCCCATAAAGTAATGGCTTTTATATCTTGGTTTCTCAATATATTTATTGTATTTTGGATGCGATGTTGTTTTTGACATCACTATTCTTGAGCTTGCAGATGTTGATATTAGTGTATAAGTGTATGTTTGAGAAATTTTTGTGAAGTTCAAAGATTACATATATATGAATGTGTTTCCTTGAGAGTTGACAACCTTCGAAGATGTCCCATTTTCAAGTTGCTGATATTTTTATCAATTTTATTCCTATGGGAGTATTAGTGTACTTGGACAAAACAATTTAGACCTGAGGGACTCAACATTATTACCCAGCATGTCTTATGTCCAATGCCGTATCTTTTCATTTGTGAGGGCACAGACAGCCATGTTAAGTGGGTTTTATCACATCGGCTGTCTCAATGTTTCACCCGATCCTGTGCTATTCATGGGAATCCTGGGCTTCTGTTTTCTTTATCCCCTCACATAAAAGTATGGGGGAAGTGCTTTGCTCTTGGTTGACCTCTTCTTCCCCAAAGAGTAGGGATACTCTCTCTGCCCTTTATCTGTTCACAAAGCATCCTATAGTATCTCTTGGGTGATGTGAGCCTATCATAGCCCTTGTTTGCAGCATCACTGTTTCCATGACAGTCTTATCATTATTGAGGTTATAAACCCCATCAATCCAGGAAATATCTTCTTCCATATTTTGATGAGTAATTGGTATTGATTATTTTCTGTTCTGATACATGTTTATAAGTTCTATTTTCTTAGGACTGCTCAATATATTGTAATGCATGTTTTTGTCTTTGAAGTGGTCTTGTTGGAGTTGAATTACTAAGCACAGAATGCCATATGGCTTATGACTGAATTTTTTATGGTCATATGGCTCATTTTATACTTTTTTTTAGCAAACAGTATCACACACGTCAGTACACTTACGCGAATGAGTACCCTGCAAATGCTAAGGCATGGAAATTGACCTGCCACAGTACAGGAAGTGAACCATGCAAAGAATGACAAGTCTTCTTTGTATTGTTATCTAAATGTTACTTTACTTTTAAGTATATGTCTGTCTTGTTATGTCTGTGGCTTATGTAAAGCTTCATGCAACTATCTGGTCGAGACTCTTTAAAATGTATAACTGATTAAGCTAATAATAACTATTCAGTTTCTTGGTAAGTAGAGAAGGTTTATACTTGTATGGGTATATCATATTTAAGCAGCACAATTCAAAACAGAGCATCAGTTTGTGAGTATAAACATTAAAAACGATTAAACAGCATCACAAGAAGGAAGTATGTTTTTGGATGTTTTCAATAATTAAATATGCTCGTATTTCCAACCGAAAGCATTTGTTTACAACTTTACATGTCACTTTCAGTATAAGTGCATTGTGGTTTTTTTCATGTAATCATAGCCAGCTCATTATAATGTTGTTGGTTCCCTTTCTGACTATCAAGGATTTATTTGAAAGTTGATGAATATTATTGAATTTCCAGGATTGGGTACTTGTACTCTCCTTTATTGAGAAAGCTATAAGCCACTATTGGAGACAAGATCCAGTTCATGTCTTGCCAGGTTCCTTTTGCATAACCACTTTATCTGATGGTTTTTTTGTGTTAGGCTTAGTGCTGACTTGAAGGGCTGTTACAGGAAGTTCTCTGGGCACTGAAGATGACTCCTGGAAAGAAGAAAAGTCAGAAAGACGCAGCAATAAAAATCCTTTGGAAGGTATTAAATTTCTGGCTTTCTCTCACAATCCACAGTCTGACATCTGTAATGCTTCTCAATTGAACTTTTTCTTGTATATGGAGACTAAGGTGGATTTCTTATTTGAGATTCGAGGAATATATTGCAGAAGCCTGGCTGAAGCATGACTCCTCTACTGCAGATTCATATGAAGACATTGGCAAAAAGAAATGTAAAATTCAGCATTTTCAGGATCCTGAAACAATGATGGAAGAAAATGGCATTTCAACCCACAAGAGAAGTTTCAGGACACCATTGAGAAAATCACACAAAGTGAGCCCTTGTAAAGGTGACTCCTTTGAAAGGAACAGTCATGTATGGGAAAGTGGACTTCAAATTATTTGGGGGGGCCATGGATGCAAAGTTCTCAGAAGAATCCGTGGTGACAAAGGCCGGAGAATGCATTGAAAAAGATAGCACTCTAGAATTGAGATTGGAAAATAGTCATGATAACACTAGATTGAATAAAAGATCAAGAACAAGCACAGAAAGATGTTATTACTTTGAAGATTCAGATGAGAAAAAGCCATTTCTGTCAAGATGCCCCAGGAAACTTGAAACACTGGCTTCCAAACCTCTCCATTTTCCAGGAAATATGTTAGACAGTTCTGGCTTATTATATAATGAAGGGAGATTTGAAGGTCAGTTTGATCATTACGCATATGAATCGAAAGTGCCCACCTTTTATGATAGTCTTGACGTAGCTGATGTTGAACTTGGGAAAGAAAGTTCTGATTTTTATTCTGTGATTCCTTTACTACCTAAAATTGCATCATCTCAGCAATCGCCTTTAGCTCTATATAAGTACCAGGACACTGGAAAGGTAGACCTGCCATCGAGGGGCTTCATAAATCCTCACTATTGGAAAGACATGCGATCAATAGAGGAACAAATTGCTTGTGGTGGGTTATTTTCACAAGATTTGGAGAAAGGCCCAGATAGTGAATCTGTTAATTCTCGGTGGTGTATTAGATCTCCAGATTCTGATACCGAAGGGATCAAAGTTGGAGGGGATTTTGAGAACTGTGTAAGCTCTAGTGGCTTGAGTGCTCAAAAGGTGAAGGACAACTTTGTTAGTTATAGTCCCAGGGAAAATAGTTATATGGGAGGAGCACTTTACGTTTCAAGTTGTTCACTTGGTGATTCCTATTTCAGCAGCTGCAATAGTCCAGAAAGAAAGTTACACAGACCTCTAAGAAATAGAAGTCACTTGGATGGGATCTTCGATGAAGGAAGTGGAAGGCTTCGCTTGCTTAGTTCTCCGATGGACTCGTTAGATTTAGGTGCTGGTGTAGCAAATGATACTGAAAATTTTCCAACCGCTTTTGAGAGTTCACATTTTTACAATGGCCTAGGAAGGAAGAAGAAAGGAAGTTCAAAAAAATACAAAGATGATCAGTGTGAAGAAGTTTCGAAGTCCAGAACAAGAAGAAGCAGTTCTGCTCCACCAATTTACCGTGGCAAGAGAAAGTTTTCATTCTCAAGTAATGTAATGGCTGTCACTCATGGACAGGAATTTCCAGGTTTTTCTTGAGTACTAAGCATCATTCTTATTGATGTCTATATTGAGACAATGAATGCAATCAATGAAGCTTACTTGTAATCTACCTTACACAGTTTGTAGGAGCACAGAACAAATTCCATCGCTGCCTGATGGTGCATCAGAGCAGTATCCTGAGCTGATGGATTGTTCACTAACTTGTTTCAGGTAATACATTTATTCATTGTTACTCAGACTCTAGCAGTAAATTGTTGTTCTTTAATGAAAGGTCTTCATTCTAATGCTTTCCTTAGGCAATCCCCAGAGAGGAAGCCCAGTCAGATGGAAATATCAAATGAGACAGAAAGGAGTGGAGTTTTAGAAAGATCTCAATCCATTCCAATGTGTCGTGATACTGATGTTGTTGATGGTAATGGGGAATTTACTGTTCTGTGCTGTATGACTTTCTGGTGTAAATTTAAGTGTTACCTTAATAGCATGTGTTCTCTTGTTGCTCTAACAGATTCCATAAATGCTTTGACAAAGTGGCGGAGTGCTGATTCACAGGCTACAGTGGAGCATCTCAACAAAATGCAAATGGTCCATAAGTTACAGTAGATTGATGTATAATTTTTTTGTGTATGAGTCATGGTTAAGCATGGATTGCTAGCTATAATGATTGTGATGATGATGATGATAACGTTAGTTGGAAGGCGGGCAAAATCTTTACTGCTGTGATGAACATTTTTAAGTTAAAATTTCACTTCCTATAAATAAGGTTAACTTTATCAAAAAAACCTTCACTTTGTATAAATCAATTTGCTCAACATGTCTCAGTATCTATCAGGCAAGTAGAGAGACATGCCTCTCAACTATTTTACAGATGTCCCCAACTCTAAGAACCGTTGGTGATATGCTAATGTAATGAGACGCTATGTCAAGTATTTACAAATAGAGAAAGAGCCTCACAGAAATTGGAAATTCCGTATGTTTTATATTAGCCAAGGAAATTGAATTTTGTACCTAGTAAAACTTATATTTCAAACTTCTTGGGAGCCTTTCTCCTCTTTGTACTTATACCATATTTATTTGAGATAGACGATAAATGATTTTTGTTGCTGCATCAGTTTTTTAACTTGTCATTGAGGGCAATGATGGTAGTTATAAATTATATAACAATGGAAATGCTTTTAATCTGGTTTGCTTAATTGAATTTGTATTGTCAATTTTTCTGTTTAGGACACGGATAAACCACGATTTAAACCTGGATATGATGATAGCATCCTGGATATATCTTCAGGACTGCTGCATCTTGCCAGTTCTTCCTTGATTCCTGAATCAATCAGTAAGGATTGCCTTGACAATGCAAAGGTCCTCCTTCAGCTGGATAAAAAATTCATCCCAGTCACTGCTGGTAGATATCTTGCTATTATTGATCAGGTATGAGCACTTTCTTTTCTTATTTCACATAGAGATTTTGACATGCTAGTTATTCTGCAATGTATTCTATACAAGTAGTGTTGTTTCTTGACCTCTGGACACCAAACAATGCTCTTACTGTATTGTCATGGAGCTTGGCTGAATTGATAAACTATCTAGCACCTCTTCCTTGTAAAATTTCCTCGGAAATTGATATCAAAGATTAGTCTTATCAACCTGCAGGCTTAGGTCCAAATACCACACTTCACCAACCAGGAAAAAAAAGAATCTACAACGCCAAAGCTACCTACTGCCATATTGGAGCATCCATTGTTCTAAGCTATTGTTTTTTCACCAAGAACCTAAGCCCCTCGAGATGCAACCACCATTGATATGGATGATAGCTTAATCACCAAATAGTCTTAACTGGCTCCAGATAATGAATTGGTACACAATTGTTTCCTCTTCTATTGAAAATATATGGTGTATCGGTGACGCCACCAATTTTTCTCTCTCTGGTAATGGGACAATATGCCTTGATGTGCTTGGTCGTCTCATGAAATACAAGGTTAATAATTATTCAGATGACATTAACAGTGTCTTAATGAAGCAGTGTAGGTCTTCTAAGCTGCACTCCCAGATTTACCAAGCCCAGTGATCTATGATCTCGATGCAGGCTGCTGACAGAGATTTTTTTAGCCCCTACCATGGAGTCATTTCTTGCTGTGCAAAAAACAAGATAGTCTCCTTGGAAGATGCAATATTCAGTAGCGGATGTCTGTTTGTCTCTGATCCCTATGTCAATTCCATGACAAAAGAAATTTTTTACCTATTAGAATCTGTGTATCTGATGTTTATCTCAGAAGGAAGCTATATGGAGTAAGAGAAATGTATTTTAATGATGCATTGGCTTGTTGTTTGGTGAGAGAGATGTGGTACTGCATGAACTAATCAACTAACTTCGTCACATGAGCAATTGTTGTTATGGTGATCAAATGGGATTATGGGAATGTTTCCAAGTATAAGCAATTAGATGGTCGGATTAGAAAGCAATTTATTTCCGTTTAATGAAATTTTTGCATTACGTTCTATAAGAGTATCAGCTTTCTAATATACAATCAAATGGCTCCAAGAAATACTACTCTCTATGTATTTTTATTGCCTAACAACAATCCTTGTAGATGATTTAGTGCAATAAGGTCCTACAGAATCTGATATGGGGACTTATGGCCTCACTGAGGGTATGGCCCTTTATAGAGTAAAATGTCGAACCAGGATTCGTGTAGGCAACTCCAAATAGTTGAGAAAAGGATATGATGATGATGAGGTCCTACAAAATCAAAACGCGCCCTACATCCTTTATCTGCAACTTTCATTGCATAATACTACGAATATGTTAGGAATCAGAAATTTGATATGCACAAATAAGTACAACAACAGCCTGGTCACTCAAAAACTGGCCAAACAGAGGAGGCAAAACAGTACCATCTAAACCCCCATTTTAAAGCACATCGGCATTGGCCCAAAATACCTTTGATGAAGCCCTCGGAGCTTTGAGTAAATAGATAGCTTTTGTTAGTCTGTATGATAATTTGCGTGAAGGTGATTCATGCCTATGCATGACAGGTCAGTTGCCCTTGGCCAAAATCCCTGAGAAGTAAATTCTTGTCACATTGCACCACTCCATGGATTAGAATGCCAACCTTAGGTTATCTTTGGACCATTAGATGACTACCAGGAGGCCTTAGTCTTGTCCAAAAAAGTAGTGAACTATCATTAATTTCCACCTGTTGGGCCTTTCATTGTACCAAGTGTTATAATTAATAATGCAGGCGGTGATATCTCATCTGATACACTCGTGAAAAATATAGCATTGTATAACTGTTGTTATCTTGTATTTACTTCTTTTCATCTTCAATAAAAATCTATGCATTGAATGATTGACTGCTTTCGTTTCAGTATTACATTTGATTATTTAGTACAAAAAGTCCTCAATTTGTATTCTTTTTGTGTTCATTGGGTTGCTATATTGGGTTATCTGTTACTTGCCGTGAATTGTAAAAGGTAATGTATTCTAATGCCAACTAAATTAGCATATTGCTGTTTTGTAGCATGCTGCAGATGAACGCATTCGTTTAGAAGACCTGCGTGAAAAGGTTTTCCTCTGTTTCAACCAGTGTTTGAAAAGAATTAGGGCTTGAAGCGGACTCACTATGGTGCCAAGCTCAAGTGAGCCACCGACTTGGCCTTGTTGGCATTCAGACTCGGCCAAGTCTATGGACAAAATACATAGGGACCAGGACTCGATGAGATTTGCCTGAGGTTCCATGTCTTTCATCTGGACCTGGCACCTTGCCGAGTTTGAGTAACTTGGGGGAGTCTCAGATCATTGGTTTCGAGTTAGCTGTCCAACTTATGTACTTCATTATTCATTAATTTACGTTGTACTTCATTGCACTCACCGCAATTTCAGGTGCTCCTTGGTGAAGGGAAAACAATTACCTATTTGGATTGTGAACAAGAATTAGTAAGTGTCTACTTGTAATATCAATTCGATTATTTTCATCACCCATACCAGGTGTAATTGAATGACCATCTGCATTTTTCATATTCTAAACCTCATCCTATTTTGAAAAGTTAGGTGCTTCCGGAGGTCGGGCACCAGTTACTTCAGAACTATGCAGAGCAGATTCAGAGTTGGGGTTGGGTGTGCAATTTCAACACTGGTGGAAACGGATCTTTCACCAAGTATCGCCTCTTTCTCACTGCTCCATTTTTTCATTGCTTCTACACTTGCAATATTAATCCCTAATGTTCATATAGGGTGGTAGTATTCATATATGAGGTCCCTAGTAGGAAGAGTAATTCTATCTTTGAGATGAGAGTGTCTTTATGATGGTTCTAGAATACATGATTAATGTTAATCTCTTTTGCAGGAACCTGAACCTTCTCCAGAGGCAGGGGCAGAGGCAGGGACAGTCCTTTAAAGCTACTCTTCTTGCTGTAATAAACTTACCTTTCCTTTTACAGCTGGTTTCATGTACCCTTCTTTTCGATGGTTACTGTCATTTAGACCTGCTGCTCAATAGATTTCCTTGAGGCCTTCTATAATTATCTTTATGTAGTAAAATGGCATTCTATTGGGCTTTATCATATTTTTATACTTACATACTTTTTTTTTTTTTGCCCCTTTCCTTCATCAGGGATTACCAACCATTTATGACTTTATAAACTGAGTTCATCGGGAGAAAGGTTTATGCTATATTTGGTTCTTGTGAAACTGAATCCTTTTCCCAATGAAGTTCTGGCTCTACAGTGAGTATAACCGAAGTGCAGCAAGGCCAAGTGTGGCGCAGCTGCAGGAGCTCGTTAATTTCGAGTTCTATTCAATTCTCACAAAGTTATAGAAATTACTATGATCTTTCTGAATTATATATGCCTCTTAATTCACTCAAAAGAGCACATAGAGTCCTCATAATGTCTTCTAGGTTTTTAACGACAAGTTGTCAACATACATTTAAAGAGAGGATTCTCTTTGTTTCATTGGTGGTGTAGCTTTTGAGATGAGTGAATTGTCCTTTTCTTGTGGAACTCGAGTAATTTGTCTGTCGTAGTTTCTTCTAAGGGAATTTGTCTGTAATAATTGTGTAACTAATGATCAGATATTGTTGTTTTAGGAATGAAAAATTTGGATAGCTAATACATTCATGTGTCATGTCAAGGTAGAGACCCTCCAAGGCGCACTATATAGTAGGACTGCATTTTCATTGGCTCCATGTCCAGCTACATTCTTGTAGTTGTACTTTTAGTTCCTGAATTTTAGTGAATGGTATGAAAATGAAATATGAAGACCAGAGGGTGCTCTATTAAGGAGGTATAAATTCCACAGACCTAGTTTGTCAGCAAATTAAATAATTGTCTTCAATGCAATGAATCATATGGCAGGTCAGCATTGTCATTTTGTCCTCGTGGGTCATTGCTTATACAGCAAGGAATCTGGCAAAGTTTATGCCTGTGTGGATGGAATAAACTTTTGGGACACTTCTCATCTAGTTATCAAATAACATTGATATATTTTACTTGCGTAGTTTGTAATTTCTTTCATGTCATGTCTTTTTTAGTGCACTACTGATGGTTTTCCCATATCATGACCATGTATTTCTTATTTGGACTGCATAATTTATTTAGTGCAATGAACAGCTGCTCTCACACACCATTGTTCTATGTGTACTGGGTGCATCCACAGCGGGTGGAGCCTTCATTGAACATCGTGTGGGCCTCAGTCATGGTTTATATGTCACAATTGCAGGGACTGACATTATTCTATTGAAGTCGAATCGAGTACTAATATAACAATTCTGCTATGCAGGTTCCCTGTATCCTGGGGATCAAGCTCTCTGACAAGGATCTTATAGAATTTATTGATCAGGTAACAAAGTACCATGTCCTTTCTAAAGTAGATAACCAGAGTGAAATCCAAAGTATGATTCAGTTGTATCTCCCCCATTGCATTTACATACATTTAAATCAGGATTAGAAAAAAGGTTGCTTTTAGTATACCTGAAATGGTTGATAAAGATTCAAGCATACTGAGAAGCTCACTTGAGTGACCAAAATCGTATTTTATTTTTAGGAGTTACCATATGCAATCACATTACGGAGCAGGCATAAAAAATACTGATACTGGTTAAGGGTGTGTTTGATGGCACCCTAATATCCTAATATTTCTAGATAATATAGAATTTTTTGTAATTTGAATTATGTAAGTTCCTATGCCCCATCTGATAGGATTAAATCATATATTTTTATATCTAAATAACCCATAAATATCTGAATGACAAAAAATTCAACTCTTACTTGAATTTTATGGGATTGTATTTCTCCGTCAAAATTTTGAGTCTCTCCTCATTCATCTCATGTCATTCATTTCGCCCCCTCTCTCATCTCTCTGGCAGAGAAGGTTACATCAAAGATTCAAACCCATCTAGAGAGAGAAACCAAGAGACTGCAGAGACGAAACCCTTCTTCCTCGACCAACCCCTCAAAGAACCACTCTCCCACACCATAAAGAAATTTTAGAGAGATGGAGTCCTGGAAAAAATAATTATGCCCCACACTTTTTCTTGTGGTGGTTCTTTCATTGTATAGTAATACAATTGTGTAATATACACTTTCTTATCTTGTTACATGCAAGATATACTTTTCTATCTTGTTACATTCTCCTCTCAAGGAAAGAGCAGTATTTCTACTGTGGCCTTTCCAAAATTGGAATTTTTGGATTTTGCTTCTATTACTCCCCCTCAAACTCGGCTGGGGAGACATTTGAAGCCCTGTTTTAAACAAAGATCTCGAAAAACTTCTTGTGGCAAAGGCTTAGTGAAGATAGCAGCGACTTGATTGCGAGAGGAAACCAAACGAGTGATAAGTAATCCAAGAGCAACCTTTTCACATATAAAATGATAGTTTAACTCAATGTGCTTGTCCTTGCATGAAAAACATGATTAATTGTCATGTAGAGAGCACTAATATTGTCACAAAAAAGTGTTGGTGGGTGAGGAAGAGGCACCCCAATATCTCGAAGAATAAAAGAAGCCACGTCAATTCTGCAGCAGTAGATGCCATAGATTGGTATTCTGCTTCAGCACTGGAACGAGCCACATTCGACTGTTTCTTAGCACTCCAAGATATGCAGTTGGAACTAAGATAGGTGCAGAAACCAGTAGTTGTCCGACAAATGGTTGGACACCCAGCCCAGTCTGCATCAGAAAAGGTATATAACTCAAGGGAACTAGTAGAGAAGATTCTTATACCACATAATTGTGTACCATTGAGAGAACAAAGAATCCACTTGACTGCCTGAAAATGGGCAATTGTAGGGGCATCTATAAATTGATACATGATATTAACACAATAGGAAAGGTCTGGCCGTGTTTTGGTGATGTATTGAAGTGCACCAACAATGCTCTGATAAAGAGATGGATCAAGAAATGGATCAGAATTCCCATGAATATTATTTTTCATTGCCATTGATGTTGAAATATGTTTGGCATTGAGCATCTAAGCATGATCAAGAAGATCCCAGACATATTTGCTTTGTGAGAGAAAAATCTCACCTGAAAAATAAGATACTTCTATGCCAAGAAAGTAGTGACGAGGTCCAAGATCTTTCATTGCGAATTTCCTT